GCCAGTATTGTTTGCGGCAGAGTTGCGCCATCAACGCCGTGAGTTGGTCAGATTCCAAGCTTTGGCCAAGGAGCTATTGAGTGAGTTTCGATATGGTAATACCACGACTTTTCCCAATACAATCCGACGTAAACTATAATTGGACAGGGGCTCGGTCTTTGCCCCAGTTTAGGAGCGACAGACCTTTTCGTCGTTGTTTCTCTGGATCAAACGTTCATTCTGGCACGACCGTGGCGACTATAGGTGATAAATTTTTAGTCCACGCAGCCACTCACCATGGTTTTGGGGTGCCAAGGTTGATATCCTGCGATTATTATTCGGAGCTCCTCCATGAGCAACGTGGCAGATGGTAGAGTGTAAAGAAAGAAAGAACGACGCAGTGGTTGAGAATATTGCTGCACCTCGATACCGCCTTCTCCCTAGCGGTGTTTGTGCGAATGTGCCGATTGCCCTTGAAAGTAAAACGAATTATGTGAACGCCCCCAATGGTCCGGTTCCCCCGCTGCCCGTTGGTGTTTGCAGTGGAGCGGTGCTTGGCATGCATCTCGAACGTTGTGCCAGACTGTCCCTACCAAAATCGCTATCCACTTGAATTCGGTAGTACCGCCCGTTTCGAACCCCGCCGGGCTTCTGAGTACTGGTGGTACTCATGCGGAACTCCGTGCCGATGATTTTGCTGGAGTGGTGCTTCGTGAATGGGTGCCGGAGCCGATGAGGGAGTTCAGCGAGGGCGAGGGCTTTTCTGATAATTTGGCTTGTGCGATTGATACTAAACAGGACGAAGCTAACCGCGCGTCTGTGAATACGTGCGCGAAGACTTTCCTCATTCGTTCTGTTGCTCGCTCGGAGCACAGACACATGCGCCCCTGGCTTTCTAGTGCGCTAGCCCGCTGCGTCGCGAGAGCTTGGGGTCGATGGATGGCGCGAGTGATTCGAGACATGCATGCCGACTTGCTTGCAAGCTTTTCTGTTGCATCGGCCCTCGCGTTGCATCAGCACACATATCGAAATAGCAGCGAGTAGAACTCGGCGCGCGAAGGGGCCGCGCCCCCCCCCCCCTCCCCCGAAAAAATACATGAAACGTGACTCACATGTTTGCGATGAGCGTCGCGGCACCCACCTCGACAATCACATGTGCAAGGGCCTGACGTGGTATTCTCAATGACCAAATCAAGTCGCACTACGAGGCGGGAGTGCCCTCGTCCCAGTTCGGCGCCGTCTCGCGCCGAGGTGTCGACTTTGCCGCCCGCGTTATTCTAATGTTCGTTGATCGGCGCAAGACCCTCCGGCTGTGCATATCCATCCTATGCGTCGACCTGCCCGAGGCTTTCGACATTGCTTCGTGCGAGCTGGTCCTGGGAGCCCCCCTGGACTGCAAGATTTGGAGCGAGTGCTTCGCATCTTTCGGCCTCGCCCCCCATCGCGCGCCCTGGGCCATAGAGTTCGCGTCCGCGCGCGGCCCCCTCATGCAGCAATGGGGCGCCCCTGGCAAGGTTGTGCGCCTGGTGAACAAAAAACATTCGAGGAGTTGGCTCAGCTGCGGCGACCTCGACGCGGCCGTCAGCGTGAGGCTCGGCGGCAAGCAAGGGTTCAAACTCGGCAGCGCCATTTTCAACGGCTCGCGCGCCGTTGGCCTTCTGCTCATACGCGACGCTCTTCTCCGAGCTGGCGTCGTTCTTCGCGTCCGTCGTCGCGGCCTCGACTCCCCCCCCCCAGCGGGGCGCGACAGTGCCGACGTCGCCTCCGCCCCCATAGTCGGCGTTGCATTCGTCGACGATGAATGCTTGATGTCTTCTTCGTTTCTTTGAGCGAGGTGTTCAGCTTGTTCAGTCCGAGATCAGCTAGAAGCCGGGCAAGGCAGACTGCAACATCGCGTGCCGCGGGAAATGCCGCAGCACATTGTCAAGCCCGCCGCGCCGGCCGGGCTGACTCCATGATCGTGCGCGTCCCTGGACCTACGAACATCGTCGCAGTTGCCCGCCAGTGCAAGCGCCTCGGCGGCGTCACCGAAATTGGCGGCAACAGTGTGATGGAGGCCCGGTCTAGGGCCCGGGCGGCTGCAGACGCGCGCGGCCCCTTCTCTGTGCGCATATACTCTAACAGCATGTTTTCGTGGCAGGAGTGGTGGAGCCTTCTCCGTTTGCATGTGTTTTCACGGTTTTCTGAATGTTCACATCCGGTCTTGGTCTCTCGCCGCATTGCGTGTAGTGAATGCAAGTTACATGAGGCGTCTTCGACGCTTGGCCGATCAATGCGAAAACACCATATGTAGACTGCGTGTTCAGGTGCAAACGATTAGTGTTCTTTGGCAGGATCGTACGCCAGCGCCCCACCGAGCTACACTCACTTCTCGTTCCTTGCAATGTTTATGGCGGATGTCAGCTCTGTGCTCCGGTCTCCCTGACCCTTCGCAGCCTTTCGCCCCGTGGGTGCAATTAATTGCCGAATCTCCAGCTCCCTGGCCTCACATTGTCAACTGTTTTTTTGTTCGCGGAGTCGGTGTGCGACCTTGGCACTCTTTCCCCCTTCCCTCCAGCTCCCCCAATGCATCTTTCAAGTGTGATGCATGTAATTGCGTTTTTGCTTCCGGCAAGGCCTTGCGCTCGCATTGCCGTGCCCAACATGGCACCCGAGTTCCCCAGCGGCTGCATTGCCTCGCGCACGGCACGTGCCAAGTTTGTGGCACCAGGCACCGGCCCCGTCTTCGCTTGCTGGCTCACCTCTGCGTTCTCGTCGCACGCGATGTTGGGAGGCCACGTGCGCCAGGTCAGCGTCGTATGTGAAGCTACCAGCATCCGAATGTTATCGCCTCGACAGTATAGGCAACGATCTGCGTCGCGAAGCCGCAACGGCCGTTCACACGCGCTGGCAGTTGGGCAGGCTTTCGCTTCCACCAGAAGGGCCGTGGGTCGCTGGACACGTTGGCGCCTCAGCCATATTACAGCTGTCGCATTTTGCGGTGGAGTCGATCCAAGCCCTGTGGAATGTATATATATATATATAGAGAGAGAGAGAGGGAGGGCGAGAAAGAGAGAAAGAGAGAGAGAGAGAGAGAAAAAAACAAAAACACACACACACAAACAAGAAATGGGGTGCGGCGGGGACGCAGGCAATCTGCGAGGCAAGGGGCCCGCCTCAGGCGCATAGTTTTCGCAAGTGATACACACTCTACTGATGAGTGAGCGTGGATGCGTACGCCCTTCGATTTTAAATTCAGGCCCCAGCCCGTCATTTACAAGTCTGACTTGCGCCGAGGGTTGCTTAAGGGAAGGTTCGGCCAATTCACATGCTTAGTATGGAGGAGGAGGAGGAGCAGGAGGAAAAGGTGGAGGCGGGTGAGGAGATTGGCTTCCAGCTCGCCTTGTAGTGAGTCAATCACCAGCGAACAGTGCGCCTCCTGGAACCCTGCTGGAGGAGGATGGAGGACGAGAAGGAGGAAATGCAGGAGGAGCAGCAGGCGCAGGAGGAGAAGGAGGGGGAGGGGCAGGAGGACGAGGAGGAGGATATTTGAGATGGAGGGAGGGAGGGGGGATGGAGGAGGGAGGATGGATGAGCAGCAGGGAGCAGATGGGAGGAAAAGCAGACGGAGGAGCAAGAGGGAAAAGGGGATGAGGAGGCGGGGTGACTAGGCGGAGGGCGGAGCAGGATTTTGAGGTGGACGCGGAATAGAAAGTAATGGTGAGGATCTGGAGGACATATGGAATCAGGACGCGGATAACGATCATCGGAAGAGAGGGAGGAATAGAAAGAGGAGTCGGAGGAGGAGGAGGAGGAGGAGGAGGAAGAGGAGGATAATATTGGAATCGGCGGTTTCCTGCTCGCCTTGTCCAATTTATCCGGCAGCGAGACGAGACTTGCCATTTTATGGCAAGCGTGTGTTCTTCAGCAGGGAGCCTCTCGGGTCCCTACCAGATGGGGACTACTAGTTTGGGGGTGGTCTTCGTGGTCACAGCTTGTCGCAGCCCCAGGAATTGCTCACGATGGTGTCTTGGAGGGGTTTGAGCGAAATTGGCCCTACGAGGTCCAGCGGAGTGACGTCCCACGCGCATCCAAATTTGCCTCAGCTCCTTTGGGCGCTGGGAACCGCGCGGCCATCCCCACTCTCGTAGGCCTGTGGGAGTCCAGCTGGGTGCTGACAGCCTCGCAGCTGTCGCCACTTCTCGCGAGCCCGTGCAAGCTCCAACGGAGCGGTGTCCCAGGCCGGCTCACCAGTTGGTGATGCCAGACTTTTGCGCAACGCAGGGGTATTTTTTTCTGGGTTATTTGGACGTGCTCGTTTTTTGTTTGGGGGGTGCCTCTGGAGATCCTCAGGGGCCCAGGGAAGCCTCGGGGGACTTAGTGAGGGACCCCAAGAGGCCCCCGAAGACATCAGGGGAGGGACAACGAGGCCGAGGATCTTGCTCCTCACACTGACTTTCCGAGGATGTGGTTTCTCATGACATCGGCACCACCCAGGCACACCTATACTTTGGTTGCGTCGGTCACGCAGGGGCGACGCGCACGCTCAGACATGTTATATCATAAGCTCCGTGGCGGGTGCTTTCTGGCCGTACCGCTCGGGAAACGATATACTGTGAGACTTGTGCGCTATTATCGTGTCGGACGTGTGCCTTCAACAACAGCACAACGTACTAGTAAGTCCTTGTGCTTCCCACAGTATGTGGTGGAGTGGACACTGAATATGACGAGTGCTTGGCCATCGTGTCTTCTCGAAGGCGTCGAAGCTCTGGGCCCTCCTGCCTGCAATGGAAGAGATGCGATAGCCACGACAAAGATGCTGCGGGATCTTGTCGAAGCCGATCTTGGTCATGGTCCATGCGGACCGTCGCCGATTCGTGAGGACGTTCCACGAACTGACAATGATCAAAATGGACGATGACCAGGACCGACACCGACGCTTCCGCGTTCACGCTCGGTCACGCTCCTCGTTCTCCCTATCCGGCCCCCCCTCATGCAGGAGTCGGGTGCCCTTCGTCCCTTTCCCCCAGCGGCGGTGCCAGGACACGGTGCTCCGGCTGAGCTCGCAGCTCGACGCCGTCGCGAGAGGCGGGAGGCGGGGGGGGGGGACGCCGCCGCCGGCCGCGGCTTTCCCTCAGTTCGGAGATTGCCAGAGTCAGGTGAACACAAACATGGATCATGGGGGCGTGGATTAGCGACGGGTCTCGTCGGTTTCCTTGGGAAAACGATGTTTCCCGCCGCCGAACGAGGCGGCACCGGCCGCATTTTGGGGAGGACACCTCCCCCGATCCATGGATCGCTGATCTATGTTTGCGCGCCCCCGTCAGGGGTGCTCCTGGCCCAGGGTGCCCCAGGCTTGTCGCGCCCGTTTTGGAGCCCTTGTGGCCCTTTATGGAGCCAGCTGAGGGGTGCTTTGTGAGGCCCTGGGGCGGCTCCTGGACACCCCGGGGACAGCTTGGGCGAGGGGCACCGTTGGCAGCACACCCGCCGCTGGCCGACTCTGCAGGCCAGGGGCCCCAGGCCTCCGTCGCTTTCTGGCCAGAGTCTGCCCGACTGCCTTGCGCGGCTGTGTGCTTTCGCTTCGCTGGTCTGAGCAGCGTCGCACTGCCTGGGTGTGATGTGCCCCTGGTTGATGGTGCCCACTGCGTAGCATGGCACGGCAGTTCTCTGCAATGCGTCGAGTCGCTTCGAGTCGCTTCGGAAGTTCTGTGCATCCAGTTTCTTGCGCTGCCCTGCGTTGTCTTGAACGGCCTTGCATTGTGATGCATTGCGCTATGCTGCATGCTGTTGCACTAGATGGCGTTATGTTGATGTGCATGTTGTTTTATTGTGGTGTGTGTGTGTGTGTGGAATTGCGTTGCGTGTCTTCGCTTTGCTGTGAAGTTCCTTGACATGAAGTATATGTGGCTCCTTGTGTTGAACTGATCTGTAAGTATTGCATAGTGTGGACTTGCATTGCGCTGTGCTACACAAGTTACCATCATTATGGCATTCTCTTGCTTCACGTTCCTTGGCATTCACGTTCCTTGGCATTCGATAATTTGCGGCGCCTTGTGTTGAATTACTTTGTATTGGATTCCGTGAGCTTTAAGTTGCTTTGCCGTTTCACGTTGTTTTGCCGCTTCGACAAGAGAAACCATACAGCGAATTTCAGGATTGTGTTGCAGTTGTGTAACATGCCTACTCTGTCTACTGTCTCTCTACTCTTTCTCTCTCTCTCTCTCGATTCTGCTGCATACTCTCTGACATGTGGTCATGCTTCATTGTATTCACTCTCTGGTTACGACCGTGGCAACATGTACCCTCTCTCTCTACTCAGCCTCTCTCTCTCTCTCTCTCGTTATGTCTCTCTTCTTGTTACCGCTCTACGTATTTCATCTACCATCTAAATTTGCTCTGCCTGCTATCCTCTAATATCTGCTCTATTCGTTCTTCCCAACTCCTGCTCTCTACTTGCCGATCTGTAACCTTTGATCTCAACTCCCCTCGATCTCTTGTGTTGGGATCCCCGCAATCTGGATTCTAGGAACCGAAAACCCGGCTTCCCATCGAAATCGACCCAGATCGGAGAATTGGGGAACCCGGCCGCCCACTTAAATTTCCCAAGCATTGTTGTTGGAATTTGGAGTTGGAATCTGGGATCCGGGCTCGCGCACCACAATCAATCAGCCAGTTGTTTTGATTGATTCCCTTGATATTCGCAAGGCCTCGTTCTGTGCAAGCACCGATCGAGGAGTCACACCCAAGAGTCAGGGCCAAACAGTAAGTATTGTGATGTATTGAAGACCTGCGGAGCCTATAGTTTGATGGCAGATGATTCCTTCCAGTGGTAGACGCACATCTGTTGACCGCCTGGTGGTGTCCTGTCTGTCATCCGAAACGTGCTCTATCCTAGGCTTCCCAAGTGGGGTCCGAGTAGCCGCATCGCCGACGCATCGCCGATGCGGCTCGATGTGGAGCCCATTCTCTTTCACGTCGATACATCGCCGACGGTGCCGATGCATCACCATAGCATCGCCGATGCATCGGCGATGCGGCGCGATCCGTCGACACCATCCACTGGGACCCCATCTGGGAGGTCTCTACTTCCGCCGATGCCCCACTCACGCTGCCAGAATCGCCACCCTGTGAAACAGCAAACGCCGCATGCGTTCACAGGTGTCTCGGAGGATTCTGTCACTTAGGCGCCCCGACGTGGGCAAGGGGGTCGCTTCGGGCCAAAGTCGTTTAGCGAGTACTAACTGCAAATAGCGAGCCATAACACAACACATCATTTGTATCTACCTCGCACGGAGTACTCATGCCTGGGATTATTAGAACTACGTACAGTATAACTGCTGAGTCAAACTAGACACTACCATCCACGAATGCTACTTCCGAACGCGATGAACTGGCCAGCGGCCAGAATGTATGATCGGCCCCCATCCCTTCGCTAGCAGCTGGAAACTACATTCTCGCTTGCATAAGTGAAAACCGTAATATGCTTCTGTTGTAGTCAGACAAGAATGGCGAGGACGAGGGGAGGGAGGAGGAGGAGGAGGGGAAGAGAGAGGAGGAAGAGGCAGAAGACTATGTCTTTGGGTGGTCCCCGGCGCTGCGGGGAGTTGGGGCCGACGACTCGCCCCACCGCTTCGGCGAGATCAGGAGCGGCAGACTTTGCACGCCGCAAGCCAGAGGTCAGATGAGGAAAGGGTGCCCGTACCGCTGCCCTTGCCTGGTTCTCGCATTTTGGTCCTCCTGGGAGGCCCTTCTCGCGACCGCTGAATTCGCTTCGACAGCTTAGTCAGAACGCACCCCGGGAGGCCCGGGGAGTAGCGTTATCGGTACCTTTTGGTTTCCCCAGCTGCTCCGGTCGGCGGCGCGTCAAGGGGGGACGGCAGGGGGTCGGGCCTTCAGAGAAACCCTTGATTCTAAGTGATGCTCATTGATTTCAATTGATTCCTATTGATTCGGATTTGTGTCCGCTGGTTTTAGTGACTCCTGTTGATTCTCAGTGATTCCTATTCATTCCCATTGGTTCTGATTGATTACAATTGTTTCTAATTGGTTTTCATTGAATGTAATCATGAATTATTGACTATCATTGATTCTTATTAGTTCTATTTGATTACTACTGATCTGTTTTATTGCTTCTGACTGCTTCTCATTGATTCACATTGGCTCTAATTGAGTCTTTTTGATGCCAAGCGATCCCGATTTATTCTTCATTATCCGGTTGATTCCTACTGATCCGTCATGGTCCCGAGTGATTCCCATTGATACTCCCATTCGTATGGATTCGTATTGATTGGTATTGGTTCCATTAAGTCTATGTGATACGTACTGATTCCATAAAAGCTCCATCCATCTTTTACAGGATCCTATGAGAGCCCCATCCATCCCTAACAGAAACTTATTAGAGCTCCACCCATCCCTAACAATATTCTATCTGAGGTCCATCCATCCCTGGCACGATTCCATTAGAGCTCCACCCATCCCGAATAGGATGCTATTCGAGCTACATCCATCCCGAATCGGATGCTATGAGGGCCCCATCCATCCCTAACGGTTTCCCATTCGAGGAGGCAGCCAGAGGCGTTGCTTCGCCAGCGCGAAATCGTTTGGCGAAGGCAGGGCCGAGTTGACCGTCATATGGGTCCCAATAGATTCTTTATTTGTTGTTTCTATGAGTGCTGGATGCTGGCTGCTGCCGCCCCCCCCCTCGTGTGCGCCGAGGGGCACAGGAGTCCGGTCTTGCGAACCGAGTGACTGTACGTCTGTGCTTTGGGAGAGAGGGGCACACATAGGCGTTGATGCCTTGTTGTTGTAGTTGTAGTTGTAGTTGTAGTTGCTGTTGTTGTTGTTGCTGTTGTTTCTTGTTTATTGTTTCTTGTTTCTTGTGTGTTGTTTGTTGTGTGTTTGTTGCTGTTGTTGGTAACTGTTGTTTGTTGTTTGTTGTTGTTGTTGAGTTCTCAGTCCTGAAGAATGATTATTGTTGATCCCCCCTCACCGGTGCATGTTGTATTTTTCAATCAAGGTGTGTCCCTCGACGCTCGCACCCAGTTCTTTGGGAGAGGAAGTCTTGGTGTTCAAACTGGGCCCCTGGCCCCCCCGGATTACAACAACAACGGCTCCCGTTCCCGCCTGCGACCTCTTCCTAATTTACTCAGGACCCCCTTTCCTGAGACTTCCTCACAATTTACTCCGGATCGGTGCTCCCGCTTATGACTTCCTCGCAATTTAGTCAGGACCCCCGCTCCCATTTGAGACTTCCTCACAATTTACTCAGGAACGGCGCTCCCGCCTGAGACTTCCTCGCAATTGAATCAAGACTTCCTCGCAATTTGATCAAGACCCCCGCTCCCGCCAGAGAGCCTCGCTCTCGCGTGTGGTTTCCATGCGATTTATTCAAATTGCGCTTTCGACGCCCAGGAAACACGCTGCGCCAAGGACGCCGTTACAATTGACTTAGCAATCGCGTTCTCGCCATACTCTGGCATCCCGCTTGAATGTCCCACCCGCCCGACCCGCCCGTCAGGGGATCGCCAGCCCGTCGTGGGTTCCTGCCCGAGAGTTCCTTCAGGAACGGCGCTTTCGCCCAGGACTTTCTCGAACGTTCACGCTTTTACCTTCTTGCTCCTCCTCCCTCTCCCTCCTCCCTCCTCCCTTCTCCCTCCCTCCTCTCTTCCATCATCCTTATTCCTCTCTGCCCTATCCCCTGTCCCTCCTCTCCCTCCTCCCTTCTCCCTCCCCTCTCCTGCCTCCTCCCTCCCTCTCCCTTTCTCTCTCTCTCTCTCGCTCTCTCTCTCTCTCTCTCTCTCTCTCTCCCCCCCCCTTTTTGTGTGTGTCTCTCTCTCTCTCTCTCTCTCTCCGTTGTTCTACCTCTCTTATATGTTTTTGTTGTTCTCTCTCGCTCTCTGTCTCTCTCTCTCTCTCTCTCCCTCTCTCTCTATATATATATCTCTCTCTCTCTCTCGCTGCCTCTAATTAACCGCCCCCCTCTTCGCTCCTTCTCTTTTGGCGTTTTCCCTCTTCCTTCCTCTCTCCCCCTCCCTTCCTCCCACTATCCGTCGTTCTCCCCCTCTTCGTTTTACAGGGCCCACACCAATTCCAATGGCGGGCACACGTACGCCCACGAAGGATTGTCCGCCCGTGCAGGTTCGACGCCGATCGAAGCCCGCCGCCCCCCGCAAAGAGAAATACCCCCCCCCAAAGGGGGTATGATCGAAGACAAAAATGGCGGGTATCGCGGGTGTGGAGGATTCGTTTTGATTGACACGCGGGCAAGTAAGAGCGAACAGTCGTATAATGATTGTTGTTGTTGCTGCTGTTGTTGTTGAACTCTCACTTCTGAATAATAATTATTGTTGTTTCGATTGAAGTGCCCTTCCTGGGGTTTGCACCTTGCTTTTTTAATCAGGGGAAGTCTTGAGGGTCAAACTGTGTCGTCGGCCCCCCGTTTACAACAACAACGGTTCCCGCCTGATACTTCCATACAGTGTATTGAAGAATCGCGCTCTCGCGTTGGACTTCCTTGCAATTTACCACCGGATCGCGGCTCCCGCTTGATATTTCATCGCAAGCTATTGAAGAATCGCGCTCTCGCTCGGGAATTCCTTCGCAACTTACCACCGAATCGCGGCTCCCTGTATTCAGCTGCCGCTCCTCGACAATCAGGAATCGCGCTCCCGCTACATATTGCCTGGCGGTTCAAGCAGAATTGACGCTTCAACGACCCGCCCGCTCGACCCGCTCGTCTGGGCTTGCCCGCCCGACCAGCCCGTTATGGACTGCAGTCGCCGTTCGCTGCCCTTCGCCCGCCTTCGATGCCCCTCGCTGCCCGTGTTGGTTCCGCGGTCGCCTTCGCTCGCTGCTCTTCGTGGCCCCGTTGCTGCTCAGCGGCCCCGTCGCTGCCCACTGTGGCCCCGCATTATGTACCGTTCGTGGCCCCCGTTCGCTCGCGCCCTTCGTGGTCCCATACGCATGCGTTTCGTCGCCCCGCTGTCGCCCTTTCATGGCCCTCTCGCTGCCTTTCGTGGCCCCTTTGCTGCCCTCAGTGGCCCCGCTGTCGCCTTTTGTGGCCCCATATACGAATGCCGTTCGTGGCCCCCGCTCGCAGTCGCCCGTCGTGGCCTCATACGCATGCCCTTCGTAGCCCCGCTGTCGCCCTTCGTGGCTCTCTCGCTGCCCTTCGTGGCCCCTTTGCTGCCTTCAGTGGCCCCGCTGTCGCCCTTTGTGGCCCCATATACGAATGCCGTTCGTGGCCCCCGTTTGTTCGCGCCCGTCGTGGCCCCATATGCATGCCCTTCGTGGCCTCGCTGTCGCCCTTCGTGGCCCCTTCTCTGCCCTCCGTGGCCCCGTTTCTGCCCTCAGCGGCCCCGTCGCTGCCCTCTGTGGCCCCGAATTTCTTGCCCTTTGTGGCCCCCGTTCGCTCGCGCCCTTCGTGGTCCCATACGCATGCGATTCGTCGCCCCGCTGTCGCCTTTCGTGGCCCTCTCGCTGCCCTTCGTGGCCCCTTTGCTGCCTTCAGTGGCCCCGCTGTCGCCCTTTGTGGCCCCATATACGAATGCCGTTCGTGGCCCCCGCTCGTTCGCGCCCGTCGTGGCCCCATATGCATGCCGTTCGTGGCCCCGCTGTCGCACTTCGTTGCCCCGTGAGTCCCAAATTATTCCCAGTCCCTCCTCCAGATTCCTCCGTGCGCCCCCCGCTCCTCCGCAGTCCTCCCGGTTCCTCTTGTCCATTATTTGCCGCTCTTCTGAGACCCTACTCTTGTCCACTCCATCCCAATCCACTCCACATCCCGCGCTCCTCTCGACACGGTTGCAGTTCTCATTATCTGTCCGCCCCACTCTCCCAGCATCCCGTTTTTTTTTGTCAAAGTCCACGAAACTTGTTTCTGACATTGGTTCGCAGCTGTACGTCCCACCGTGGGGGTATCCACGATTTTCCCCAATCGGAGCTTGCCTCTGTAGGGGTCCTAGCGGATTCATCTGGTTAGGTTAGGTTTGCCGCCTATTTTCGCCGCGCGCCCGGGTGCCTGGGTGCCCGGGGGTGCCCGGGTGCCCCGGGGTGCCCGGGTGCCGGTGTGTCCGGGGGTGCCCGGAGGTGCCCAGGGGTGCCCGGAGGTGCCCTGGGGTGCCCGGGTGCCCCGGGGCGCCTGGGTTCTCTATCGCCATATAGTCCAACAGTTCTATAGCCCCATATTTCAATACACCTACAGACTTCGCCCTGTAGCCCTACTAGCCCTATAGCCCTATAGCCCTTGTGCCCCATAGCCTTATAGCCATAATACCCTAATTACCATAGAGCCCTATAGTCATTATGCTTTATAGCCCTATGACCCTATAGCCCTCATAGGCCTGTAGCCCTGTGGCCCTATTGTCGTATTGCCCTGTAGCCCGACAGCCCTATGTTGCTATAGCCCTATAGTCCTATACTCCTATAACACTAGCCCTATGGTCCTATAGCCGCATAGCCCCACAGCCCTACAGCCTTAACAATATTATGGTTGTTTTTTGTTCCGGTATCATGTTATTTCAAGGGGTGGCACGTGGCGCTGTTAATGGCGCGACCCATGGCGAAACTTATTGTTAACCTGTGTTGGAATGGCTGGCGCAAGCCATGGCGCAAGTTGAATCGCCACCCGCAGCGCAAATCATCGTCCTCCCTCCTTCTTGCCCCTCCCCTCCCTTCCTCCGATCCCTTCGTCTTCATTATCCCCCGTTATCTGCTACCCTTCGCTTTCAAGGGCCTCACCAACCACGCGTGGCAGGGAGTGAGTATACCCCCCAATAGGGGGCGCGATCGAAGACGAAGAGGGCGGGTATCCAGGGTCTGGGATATGCATATGGAATGACACGCGCGCAGATAAGAGCGAACAGTCTTAAAATTGTTGTTGTTTGTTGTTGTTTGGTGTCGCCCCCCCCCCCGCGCTCCGCCCCGCGACCCGCCCGCGACCCACCCCGCGACCCACCGCGACCCACCCGCGACCCGCCCCGCGACCCACCCGCGACCCACCCCGCGACCCACCCCGCGACCCACCTGGGACCCACCTCGCGACCCGCCCGCCGCCCACCCGCGACCCATCCGCGTCCCAGCCTGCGACCCGCCCCGCGACCCATCCGCGACCCAGCTTGAGACCCACCCGCGACCCACCTGCGACGCACCCGCGACCCACCCACATTGCTTTACAGACAAATCGGCGCCGCCGGCGGGCTCCATAATAATTTGAAAGAAATATACGTTTGCGGCGTTTTTTTTCCGAGCCTCGCGTCCCCGCCGCCCCCTCACTGTTATCCGCGATTGCGGGGTGTTACGCATCGGACTGATGTTGTTTTTGTCTGAGTGAAGGCAAAGGCAGTGCGCACCACCTTTGGGAGTTCAGGTAAATGCTAAAGGCAGCGTTCGATGCCGGTGTTGAGCACGAGCGGATATGCACACCAGCGAGTTGATGAAGAGCATGGGGTGGATGAGGAGTCGTCAAATAATGACGTAGAATCCGTACTCAGTTTGGGCATTGGGCGTAGGCCTTTGGATCAAGTTCCGCCTGCACGTTAGCGCAGTACTACGTGCGACTAGCACGCGATGGTTTTCCAGAATATGCACAGTATGACAGCTCCCGTCATTATGCGTAGGCCCAAAGTGTCGTAAGATGTGAAGCATCGCTTCCCTTGGCCGGACATGGCCAGAACATGTGATAGTTGTCTCCCTGGTGGCCCACAGTGGCCGTCACACGCGCTAGTGATTTATACCAGGTGCCAGGTTGCGACCAGTTCAGTCCAGCCAGTCAGTTGGATTGATCACAGCTAAGTCAAATAAAACGTGCGTAGTTTGGACGGTTGCGCCACAGGGGCTACACACAAACATGTGATATATGTGCATACATAGATGTGTATGCATATCTATCTGCAGGTATGTGTATTGATCTATTCACGTAAAACTGGGAGCAAGGGATTCGGATGGTCCCGCAGGAGGACAACTCGCCGATTGCGTTTCACACCTCAGATGTTGTAGTCGCCTCGTAGGGGCTTCGATGCGCAAATACATATCGATAGCATCGCCCAAATCTTTGGCAGGCCATGAAATTGTCCACGTCTAGGGTAAGCAATGGTAAGTTTCATTGGCGCCCATGATTGCAGCCTGATGGGGATGCCCCATCAGCTTAGGTGAGATGCGGATGGTGAAGGCGGCGATTGAGAAGGTTTCAGGAACCAGCAAGACAGCACAGGAGCAGTAAAGCACACCCCAGTGTGCACCGTGGTGTTTCGTTCAAGTGGGTCATACAAATAGCATATGCAAGTTTCATCAACGATAGCGCCTCAATAGTGCAGTGATCCCGACCGCTTTAATGTGGCGTCTCTGGTTGTAGTATTTCTACCATATGATAAACAACGCACGCCGTTCGATTTCGATACAAAATTCTGTCCAGCGGGTGATGCGAGTGACCAACTAAGCGCACAACCGCATGGACGGGTTGCGGATTATCATTCGGTTTGCGAGTTGGAGACAGCGATTGTGGCGATATGTTGCCAAACATTGTTACCGTGCTTGTGGACCAGTGGGCCCTAGAGCGCTCGATCGCCAGCGCGGCCAGCAGGCCCCGACGAGACAGTCTAGAGAAGCGCTGGCGGGACGACTTTTCTGTTTCCCCCCACAGCCCGCCTGATTGCGTTTTCCTGTCAAGTTTGCAGGGCTCATTTTCCAAGCAGTTCTGCGTGGCTCCAGCCCCCCAGCTCCCGCATCCCCCGCAGCGGCACACACACATACACACACGCACACACACACACTCACACACACACGCACGCACACACACACACACACCTCGGCGCACGGCGGCGACGGCCAGTGTCCTCAACGGGCGATTTCCCGGGAACCGTTCGCTGCCTGCGCGCCGCACATTCCCTAGGACCGTTCTCGCTGCGCTGTCGGAGTCTCGCCTCGGCTCAGCATCATCGCCCAACCCATCCACTTCCACACGTGGCAATGGTATCTCAGCCCCACAAGTCCGCCCTCCTGTGTGGGGATGGGCGCCGCGAAGCCCGAAGGAGCAGGCAAATGTCCCCACCTAGGTGGGTAAGTGGGCCAGTGGGGCCAAGGCCATGCGAGTGGGGACTGGGATTGGAGAAGGCTGACAAAGGCCTGCAGCAGCTCCCGCTAATCTCGGGCAGGGCCCGCTGGTTCGATGCTCGTTTTGTAGCCATCCTGGGACTCACCTAGCGGATCTGTTCGATTCTAGGTTGACGTTAGGTTGATTGCAGTTCGATTCAAGTCCGAATCAAGTCGACGGACGTCCGACGCAGCATCGACGCTTGAGCGGAGCGAGTGGTTCCCTTTTACATAGGGCGAGCCACAGGTGACCAAAGATGAGCGCCGATAAATCGCCAGCATGATCAAACATAGTACCGAACAGGTCAGCAACATGTTATTCACAGAGATACCTGCATTGTTGAATACATGCTCGATGTGGCCCACGCAGAAAACCGCCAACGCAAATGGCCCAGAAAATTCCCTGGAAAAGTGTCCAGGCAAATGACAGGATACATGTCCAGAAGAAAGGCGGGAAACATGTACAGACAGTTGTCTTGAAAAGTGCCCAGACACTGCACGGAGGAGGCAGCTAGGGGATGCCCTACGCGATTCCCGGAAGGTCGTTGGTCGAGCATCCAGCGCTGGCGGTGCCCGCAGGCGGGCGCAGCCCGCTTGCCGGGGTTCATGCACACCAGTATCGGCCTCGGCCGACCCGGCATCGATTCGATTCCGACATGCCGACGATCCGATGCAGCCCGATGTTTGCACGGCGCTGCCGTGCATCCTGCCGCGTCCGGTTCGATATTCGATTGTGGCCCCGTGCCGATGCCGCCCGGTGCGGCGCGCGCCACGGCCCGACCCGACTTGCTGTGATTCGATGTTGGCCGCTCCTGGCTGCAGGGAGCGCCTATCCCAGCACTTGCTGCTTGTCCCCGCGCCTGGCTGCCCCCCATCCTCTCTGCGTCCAGGCATTCCCCGCTCGCGTCGCGGGGTGTGGGCGGCAGGTCGCGACCTAATCGTTGTTCTGTTGTGTGTTTGGAGTGTTTTGTTTTGTTGTTTCGTTTATTGTTCCAAACGTGTTTTGTTCTTGGTTTAAACGAATCTGGAGAACGACGCCCATCGGAGGTCGGGCCCGCCCACTGGGCGGGCCCGCGGCCTGCCCATCCGGCAGCCTTCCGACACGAGTCGATGGGGTTTCCGTGGTCCCTGGCGAAATGAGCTATGCATGTCTCATGCCATTGGCCAGGTTCATCCTGGGCCCAGGAATGGCACCGGCCTGGCCCAGGGGCAGTGGATATGTTTGGATCCCATCGCCCTACCACCTACCGCTCGCTCGCGCCGCTCGCACCCGCCGCAGGAGTGGGCGCCGGGTGAAGATCAGCCGCTGGGGCCTCGGGCGCGGCCGCGGCCCGCATCGGGGGGCTCCGGGAGGCACGGGTCGGCGCTGCCGACGGAGTCCGTCCAATCCCCTCCTACCACCTCTTGGCTGGCCCAGGCTTGGAGGCTGTGTGTCAGGGGCAGCGCTTGGGGGGAGAGGCTCAGAGGGGGCATGCACCGGCTCCCAATCGCCCATGGGTCGCCGATAGGGGCCCGATAGTCCATCCCGCGCAGGAACGTGCGGTTTCGCTACTGGGATCTACTGGCGATGTATGATGTATGATGTTTCCCCCCCTGAGCCGGTCCACCCCTGTCCCCCCCTGGATCTAGTCATCACCCCTGAGTCGCTCCTGGTTCTCGGAACATCTTCGCCGCAAAATGTTATCCTAAGTTTCCGAACTTCGAAGGTTTAGTTAGCAACGTTGGATTTGATTTTTGCCAAAAATATTATCCTGGATGTCTTGCGAGCTTTTGTTTCCGACATGAGGGCCACTTGTGCCCCCGCAGCCATTTGAAACGGATGGATCTGGACGACGACGTCGACGAGAAGGAGGACGATGAGGCGGAGGAGGCGACGGAGGGTAATCGGAGCGGGACTGGAGAGCGGAGGAGGAACATGAGTGGTAGAGCGCAGAGAGGGAAGGGATGGTACATGATGATGGTGATGATCGTGAGGAGCAGGACCAATGTGAGGATGAACAGGACGACGACAGCAGTGGCAGTGACGACAACAATGGATGATAGGGGGTTTAATTCCCAGGCCCAGATCCTCAGTACGCGGCGCTGGTGGAGAAGATGTGTACTGGGCTGGCCTGGTCCATCCTGGGCCGCAAGGACCTGACGTGGGGGCAAGCCGTCTTTGGGTAGTGCGCTTCAGTGCTCGAGGAAACAGTTGTTTATGTGTACGCAGTTGGTTGTTCCCCTATGCGTGATTGGGCGCCGACTTGGTAACAGTGTTCCCCATGCCTTCTTGCCCTATTGACCCTCCGCGCCTTCATTTCGGAGGAGACCAATCGCACATGTCCACCCAATTTCGAAACCGTGCTGTAGGGCTCAGAGCTTGGTCGCAGCCGAGTGACATGCCCGATGCAGCTGCATGTTGAGGATGCTTTTCGTACTCGGGCCAGGCAGCCAATGCGAAGGCGGCGGTCTCCTTGGAAGGCGGTGGGCGCCTGGTTTTTGTGTGGTCGGAGCCTTCTGGGAAACCTCTCCCTGTTGTCTTCAGGGTTTGACGATGTTTCGATGTTTGGGGCGTTCTGCGGTCTAATTGTCGTCGCGGGGAGGCCTTCGTCGCCACTGCGGGATCCGCTTCGAGATTTTGGCCTTTGTGCGCCCCAGCACAGAGCATGGGAACAATTTTTCAAGGATGCAGAGGAGCAGTCGCTGATGGGGCCGCGCTTCTCGCTTTGGAAGTCCTGTCTGCTCGCCGCCGGCTTCCGTTAGAGTGGCATCCTCCTCGTCATCCGTATCGTCCTCTCAGTTGTCGTCGTCCGATTCTCTTCACTCAAAGAGGAAATGTCGCCGTTGCTTGGCCCGAGCGTCGACGCATATCTACTACCTGTATGAAGAGTGCAAGCCCCGCAATCTACATCTGATGGCCGCCATGCTTCCTCTCGTGCAGTTGCCAACCACCTTTTGTAAGTCTAGTTGGTAGCAGAGCTGGGAACGATCGCAGCTCGCGATCCACGGAACGTGCGAAGAGTGCGGTGTGGACGCACATTCGCATGTGCTTTCATGTCCGGATCGGTACCACCCTCCTGTCCTTGAATATTGTGTGGGTATATTTGTTTTGCAATCAAACCAGCAATTCGCCTCGGACACCTCGTCCGACCTGCGAAGGCAACAGATGAAAGCGGAACCCCGATGATGGGCGAATCGCGCACAGGGGCGCCACGACGTTTTCCAACCTATCGCAACCCCCCAGGCATTGGCCGCAGTTTCGCGTCGGTCATGACTGCGAGTCTCCTTCCTGGACGAGTGCCGTGATTCGGAACGTGTGCAATGGTGTTTGCTGGCAGTTTTGATGAGCGCATCGCACCACCCGGGTGGAACACTTCAAGTCAATGTAGAATGTTCGCCGACTTCGCCGACTTCGGCTTCGATCAAGGTTGACCGCGGCATCGTCTTGGCTGCCACGCGCTTCGACATGGCGGTCGCCCCTGCGCAGGCCCAGGTTTCAAGGCGTTTGCGAAGCCTTCGTCGTGGTGAGGCTCGATCGAGAAAGATATCCACATGGACGCTCTTGGGCAGCATCTTCGCGTCTTTCGTGGCCGTCTTGTCCTGGCATCCCGTCAGCCGCACTCATGTTCACTGCTCGAGTCCGCGTATCCCTTCCGCCGTTCGGTGCAGGATTTTGATTGCTTGGGGCGTGCTATCCACCGACATGAACAGCGCTCAGCAACGCGCTGCTTTCATCCTCAACCTCGGTGCGGCGGCTCGCGAGCTCACGCCCACCATGAGCTTCGCGGAGATTACGGAGGGAGGCGTGGACAACGGCCAACCAGAGGACGCCGTGACCTGCCTCGCCGCGAACGTCGCCACACAGTTCGGCCAACTTGGCGAGGAATCGCGCCTCCACCGACGCTGCTGTCGCGATTTCTCGCGCTGCGATTCCGAATTGCGCACGACGGTGGAGCTGCGATGTCGTGGGAAGTCTGCAGCTTGCTGCTCATCCGGGCGGTCGGTGTCGCAGCCAACCCATTATCCAGCTCATCGCGCTGTTCCAGCCACGCGGCAACCGATACCCAGCCGCGGATTATGCATAGGCGCGTAGGGCCACATCGTGCAGCTCGCACCAAACAATGTCGCCAGCGCCCTGCGTGCGCCGCCATCCTCCGGGGCAGTCGTGGGCATGGCCCCTGTCGAGCTCCCTGGAACAGGAGATACCTCGACGCGCGCTACCGGCCCGTCGCGGCGCGCCGCGCCGCTGCGGGCCACGCGCCCCGCCGCCGCGCGGGCGCCCGCACGCGGGGCCGACTACGGCAAGATGACCTCCTCCGACACCAGCTCGGGCCCAGGCAGAGAGGGCAACTACCAAGCACCCGAGCTCCAAGATCTGTGCCCTGCCCAGATGGATTCTCTGCAGATGTGGCAAGGGAAGACTGCTGAACGACAGCGGCGTAGACGCATGCAACGCCCAACTTGCAAGGCGCGTCGCTTCGTCATGGAGAACGCAGCGCCATCTCTAGAAAAGACACAGGCAAAGGCAAGGTTCCCCAGAAGGACGCACCAGTCGCGGAGCTTTCAAATATCCAAGCAGATCAGGGGTTCGTCGCTGGAGAAAAACAAGATAGCGGCGATCGCTCGTCAGGCAAAAAATGAGAAGGCAAAGGCCGCAATCCACAAGGCTACGGCGGGGCCGCCATGACGCGTGGCATCTGTGGAAGCGAGTGCCACTCGCTCCGAGTGCTCGCGACGCGCCGCGTCATCGCTGCAGGGCAGCGGCAGCGGCGGCCAGATCGGAGGCCGCGCAGACTCCCGACCCATAGACGGCACCCTGGGACCCAGCCTTCTTGCCTGGCTCGGGGAGCGCCGCCATGGTCGCTGAGGGCCCACCTCAGCCGCAGCCTGGCCACAGCGCCACGCCAGTGCAGCCTTTCGCCGATGGTCTCTGGCAGATGCTTGGATCAGTCCACGGTTCGCCGTCAGCACTCTAGCTCACCGCGGCCCAGAGCTGCGCGCGCACCGATGCGCCAGATGCCCCAGTGCCACCGCAAATGCACAACATGGCAACGCCAACATCGGGACCGCCCCATCTTCTAGCGATGCCGCCGTTTCATGGCGCGGCGGCCGCCGCCGCGGAGCCGGCGGCAGCTGCCGACGGAGCTCGTCTTTCCAGCAGCGCGCTGCGGAGGACTGCGGCTTCACGGGGCCCCCGCGAGGTACCTTATCGATCGACGGCGCAGCGCAGGTGCGACATTCCGATCGGTCTACTCGCGGCGCCCGATGTCCAGCGCGCCGCCTTTCCTCGCGCGCGCGGTTTCGGCCTTTGCGTCTGCGACAGGGCCAGCTCGCGCAAGCTGCCCTGCCGCGCAGGCATCGCCGCGGGCACGGGCGCCAATTTGAGGCGCCGACCGCGGCCAGCGCGGCCCGCGCCTCGCGCGACCTGGCTCCTGAGATCTCCATCCGTTAGTCGCCCATCGCCAGATTGGCGGCCGACCGCGACGCTCGGGCGGGGCAGCGGCTCGCTTGCTGCCGTCGGCGCGCCCGACAGATAACCGACGCGGCCGCGACGGGGTCCCCGACCGTCGCGCCGCCGCCACTAACGTCGGATATTCGCGGCGAGTCAGGACTCGCTGGAGTTCAAGTCGACGCCGATGCAATCGGAGCTGCGCCGGCTCTGGGGCCGCCGCTGGCGACAAAGACGCGAGCACCATTTTCGTGCTACCCAACACGCAATGTAGACAACATCTGGCAGTGCGCGAGGTCGCGCACATCCAGGTTGCAACGGCGCCCAGTGAATCGCTGGATGAGAATGCGCCCCCTAGCGGGGCCCCGATCGCGCCGCGAGACGCGCCGATCGGCGAGGGCGCCGTCAGCACCCCTGCATCTTCCTGAGGGCAGCCGTCGCCTGAGGGGCCGCCGCGGGGCGGCGATGCCGACGCGTTTCCCCGGTGGCCAGGCGGCGGCCCTGCGCGCGAGCATGCCGCTCAGATGCATCGCAGTTGCGCGCGACCCCCTTCGGGCGATCTCAGCGCCATCGCGGGCCCAGGTGCGCGGGCCAACTTCGCGGGCGAGAAGCCTGCGCGCTTGCTGCGCCGCCCCGCCGTCGAGGCAGGGCGCCGGCCGCGGCAGCTTTCGGGCGAGCCTTGACGCATCTCAGGTTGTGGCAACGGGGCCCGAGAGCGCGCCCTCTTGCCGTCGAGGATGAACAGGGCGCAGCTACCATCTGCAGCTTCGCAGCGCCCGTCGCCAGAGGATCGGGTGGCGTCGCGCCCGGCTTGCTCGGGCCGCGCCGCGCAGCATGGGGCCATGCGCGCGATTCTGGGCACGGGCCACCGCGAGTTGATTTTTCCATGCGGCGGCGACACCCAGATCCACAGGCTTGAAGGGAATGCCCGCGCCCCGCTGCAGAAGGCCCAGAGCGGGCACCTCGCGACGGTCATCGACGACTTCGAGGGGGCCGCGCAAGCCGCGGGCGGCGCGCCCGACTGCAGCGCCCAGCTGCGCACCCGCGCCGTCGAGACGGAGACGGAGACGGAGGGCGCGACGCCGGACGCCCCTCCCAACCAGAATGCTGAGCAGCGGTCGAGACTCGGCTCGCAATGATTTGCGACCCCCACGCGGGGCACCCTGCCCCTCCTGGCCGGGGAACCAACGTCGCGCCCCAATTGCGCCCTAGTAATAGAGTTCGCGCATACATGCGCCAGAGTTCTTGAGCAAGGAGCAGCCGGGATGGCAGATGCGAGCGCTCCATCCTACCCGCGTCATTTCTCCCAACTCTTCCGTTCGCCTCAGCGTGGTCGCCCGACGCGAATATCAATTGGTTTGGATCATGATGCCGGCGAGCCGCTTTCGCAAAGGAAACAAGTGCGTTCGCTTCAGAGAGCTCCTGCATGATTACTACTGACGCGCCTAAGAGACGACGTTCCCCTCTGCTGCAATGGATTTGGCAAAGCAAACAAGTTGAATGGTAACATAAGTGGTCGCGAACCCAGCAGTTGGTATGAAACTACCAAGTATTGGGCATTCGGGTTCGCGCAAGAGCCAACAGCAAGTCACCTGCCACAACGGCCCCCCGCATCGTCTCAACGATAGAACAGGGGACCAGCCTGTTGTGCACATGTCCGAACACTTGGTAGACCGAGCGCCCTGGCACTCTGCGACGGAGCGCC